AGTCCGGTCAAAATCGGTTGATTCGTTCGAGAGATATCGTGAACGAAAGAAAACTGGAAAAAGTTTTTTTTCGGGATTACTCCGAAATTTTCGGTTCGATCAATTAAAACCTGAAAATAACTTGAGGATAATAAAACTGCGTCGAATGGCGTCAACCGCGTGAAAATTGGTTGATCCATTCAAAAGTTATTGCGGTTTGAAAATTCCAAAAATAGTGTTCTATGAAACTTCTATCAGACTTTTGAGCTGGGAGAGCTCAAATGCATAGAAATATTATTTCTTTGAACTCAGCGAGCTCAAAATATCAGATAAATTATATTTTGAGCTCAAAAATCTCAAAAATGTCATAAGTACAATTTTAAGCGCCCAGGAATGGAATTAGCGGGAAGTTGCACGGATGGCCTTTAGGGTAAACCGTTTTTCTAATTTTTTTTTTGTTTTGTTAACCAGTTGCTTTAATCAGGATTTTATTGTTTGATTAGGTTTTGAAATACTGCTGACAATGTTAGATCGTGACAGGGGAAATTTTACCTTAACTCTTTTATTCAGTCTTAGCGATGAAGTAGAAAGCAAAATCCCGGTGCAAACACTAAAAAAAGACCATTCGGCAGCCGAAATGGAAGTAGATTTCATCATAAATAAAAAAAATTATAACGAGGATTGTACACAAAACTAGGGCTTCTAACTTCTATGCAATCGACAAAAATATCTATCGACAGAAAAATACTAAAACCAGTGCAACAGCAAATTTCATAATCGGCATAGCGGAATAGGACATAATTTTGAGACTACACATATGATATAGTACTCAAATTGAAGCTTATTTAAAGAGCTTTCAGATGCATTTTACAGAGTTTCAATAAGTTATCCCGTTCAAAAGTTATTCGAGTAAGAAAGTGAAGAAATATGAATTTTTATGATTTTGGAAATTTTTAAATCCTGGCATTTCCAAAAAATTTTACGACTACACATATGATATGGTACTCAAATTAAAGCTAATTTAAAGAGCTTTTAGATGCATTTTACAGAATTTCAATAAGTTATCCCATTCAAAAGTTATTCGAGTAAGAAAGTGAAGAAATATGAATTTTTAGAATTTTCAAAATTTTGAAATCCTGGTATTTCTAAATTACTTGACCGATTAAGCTCATCTTCGAACTTGACTTTGGTATTTATCTGTAGAATAAGGATGTCGAGTTTGGTAGAGATCCGTTGTAAATTGGCGACGCTATCGTCGTGACAAGCCGCGTTATATCCGATATATATATACATATATAAACTTTTGAACCATATGCATTTTCTGACTCAGCTAGACGAGTATAGTCGAAATATAGCAAAATTTTTTAAAAGTTCTGTCATGAGGACCAATGCAATAGTTAGATTCCTATGAAATCTACTAAAAATACCCGTCTCCTGGCACATCATAGTTTTGTAATTTATTCAGAATCAATTTCTATTCGCATTAATTTTAATATATTTTGCTTGAGTTGTTTAGTATGAGAAAGGATCCAAGCGGTGAATTGTTGTAATTAACCGATTTTTTATGTTGTATATGAAAAACGTGAGGGTCCGGGCGTTAATCTCCTGGCTGCATTTATTTTAATTCATTAAAATACCAGTTTGAAGCGAATGCAAAGAACAGTATTTCATTGAAATCCATAATAGGGATGATTTGAAATATTTTACGGAGTATTTTATGTGTAACAATTTATATTTAAGTAAATGATAGTATTGTTGAAGCAAATGAAAATAAATTAATAGAATATGCTAATTAATGTGAAAAAAAATGTATGGGAAAACGTTTAGTTCTAAATTATTCATTACAATTGTCGAGAAAAAACTTGAATTATTAAGAAAAAATCTGGAGATCGGTTGACCACGCAGACCAACTCTAAAACTTCTCGCTAAGTTTGAATCCGAAGCGACTTAAAATGTGTTTTTTGGTTAATCTTTCAAAGAAGACAATAATTGAAATGAGTTTAATCAGATTGTGAATAGTTAAAGTCGATTACAAATGAGATCTTCATCATTATATTATTGCAACAATGTTCCCAATAATTCATAATGTTGTTAACTATTTAACAGATAATCAAAAAATAATTCAAAATCCAAGAATATCATAATCTTACCAAATTTTTCTTCCTCAATTTTGATTTCTTTTTTCGTGATAAACTATTCCGAATTGAACGACTAGATTCTTCCAAAAGGGTTGATGTTGAATTTTTAAAAACTTTATGAGAGTCCCTGTAATTATAATACGAATTAGTTTTTAAGACATTTCAACTTGATTCCAGCTTCGGGCTCATAGTTAGATATTTCAAAAGAAGAAGAAAAATACTTACGAAGCATCTAAAGAAGCAGATTTGGTTGGTGGAGAAGCTACCAGCTGATGTAAAGCAGTCTCGGAAATAGAAAATTGTGATATTGTAGAATCATTCGTTGAATTTAGTTGATCGAAAACACAAGATACACTCCATGGTCGTGGTCCATTTGATTTCGCCTTGGAACGCATCATAACTTTTGGAGTACTAACTTCTTCTGGCCCAATTGGATTGCTTATTTCATTCACTAAAGTTTGATCAGTATCGTTAAAGATTTCTTGAGATATTGAAAGTGCTGTACAATCAAGTTTTTCATATTGACGATAAGTGACGACGCTGCTTTGTAAATCATCAGAAGAATCGGATTGTTTTTCTATATCTGATTCTCCTGTTGTATATTCACCACTTGCATCACAACTATCTAATGGCTGCCAATTCTGAAAACATAAGTGATATATTTTAACGTTGCGAAATGAAAAAAAAAAAAAAAAAAAAAAAAAAATTTGAAAAATGGTTGACCCTATGCAGGCCATCCATATTTTCAAGCTCCAAATGTTCTAACTAGATTAGATTACAAAAAAAAATTTTTTTTATTCGTAATTTAACTGTTTATATACTTAACAAAAAATTACAAAAACAACGACCTGCAAATAAATAAACTAATGACAAATTTGAATTTTGACCTCCGAAAAAAATTAAAAATACATCTTTCTCAAAATTTGATTCCGCATCAAATGAGCTATTGCTCATATTTTCGTCATAATTCTAACTATTTTTCGAAAGAAATTCACTTATTAACTAGGCTATCACAAATACGACTTTAATAAATTTTGGAGCTCGAAAATTTTAAAATTATATCGGTAAAATCTTTTATTGACAATTTTAAATTGCGAAAGTTCGAAGTTATGTGTAAAAACACTTTTTCGAATTTTTTCAACAGCGAAATCTCTTAAACAAATCAATCGATTCTAATGCAGCAATCTACATTGTTTTGTCCGATTTAGAGTTTATTAGATGTTGAAATTAATCGGTATAGCAGTTTAATAGTTATTCGAAAAAAGAATTTTTTTGAAAATTTTATTTTTTATTTTGAGATTTTTCAAGATCTATCGAGCACACATACACACATACACACACACACACACACACACACACACACACACACACACCGGGATAAAAACAATAAGTTCGTACTTTTAAAAAATTATTAATTTTTATAGCGGGAAGTTGAAAAAATTTTTTTATCACAAGTAAACTATTTTTTAACTTCGAGTTTGACTGAAAAAAAAAAAATTTTTAAATTTACCTGCAGTGAAGAAATTTCCTCGGTATCATGATGGGAGTTAACTCTGAGCCATTCCTTGATTCTAGCATATTTAGCCCTATAATTATTTTGGCTATACTTGTCGAAAATAAGCGGTGGTAAATTTTTTGAAATTTCTTTTTGACCTTCCTCACTGACAAGTTTTTCCACTTCTAATATCAACTTTCGGATATCTTTTTTAGTTTCATCATCACTATCACAACTATCGATTTTTTCGTTTTCAATAATCGTCTTAGGATGATTTTCATATTCGACATGCTCAACTTGTTCAATTGCAGGGCCTTCAATATATACGCTTGACTCAATCGCAGAAGTTTTTATAGGTGATGCCGTATATGTCCATTCTCCTTCAGAAGAATCATTCTGATCATAGTCATTATCGTAAGTTCTATCAACTTCTGAATCAGTGTCACGATGTTTGAAGTAAAATGTTGCACAATTTTTCGATTTACGATCAGATGTATTAAAAGACGAACTTTCATCAAAAATTTTACGTCGCTTTGCTGAATCTTGAAGAATTGTTGGATTTTTAACTAAATCATGAGATGGCCCATCTACTTCGGATACGTCAATCATGGCTGGATTTAAGGTAGGTGCCATTTCGTCATCAGACACTTCACCTTCTTCAATGTCACCTTCGGTACCTTGATCACTAGATGAAAAATCTGGAATTGTTTCAGGCCTTTTGAAATTTTTTTGTTTCTCTTCTGTTCCACAAAGCTCTTCTAAATCATCCTGAAATCACAGAGATAAATTTTTAGCTATTTTCAAATAACTAAAAAAGTAAAATTTAAAAAAATCAGGACAATCTAAAAGTGCGTGCTCCATATACTTGTACAAATAGTTTTTCCTACCGTTGCGCTACTTGAGGGTATAAACAAGAGAATAATATTAATAGTATGCGAGAAAGAGAAGCGCCTAACGGTGCGTGAGATAAAAAAAAGATGGAAATATATTAACGAAAAATGATTTAGGAAAAATTTAAAGAACCACACGGAGAAAATTAAATAATAGCAGTTACTATCTAGTGATGGTAAAAAATTTTACCATCAACTCGATGGTAATGAATACTATCTAGATGATTGTAGAAATCAGGTAGCATTTACCATATTTATAATAACTGTTACAATCCTGTATGTTAACTAGAGTTAGTTACCATTATCATCTTAGATGGTTATATTTATAATATCTGATGGTAACAGTTACCATCAGGAATTATAACAGCTACTATCTAAGGCAGTAAGTAGAATTTAAACATCAGCATTTAAAAACTACGGTCAAAAATGTAAATATATACTGAAAGAAAAATATAGGTATTATTTCTATAAATTTATGGGATTAATTCCTATACTGATTGTAGAAACGATTACTATGATTATGGGAATGACGCCCATAATATTAGGAAGTGTTTCTAGAATTTATTAGATCGTTTCCAATAATTATGGAAATAGTTACGATACAAATTAATGGAGTGGTTTTGTTAAATTGCACTGTACTTTCTTAACCATTGACTTTTTTAAAGATATGCTCATCCCGATATTACACTCATCAAGAGCTTTCATTTGAGTACCCACATGCATTTTGATATATTTTTCATATATACATATATGTAATATATATATAAATAATAAATAAATATATAAAGAATTGATGTGAGTACTTAAATGAAAGGTCTTGATGAGTGTAATGTCGGGATGAGCTTATATCTTTAGAAATGTCAATAGTTGACAAGAAAAAATGTCATTTCTTAATTATTGACATTTTTTAAGATATAAACTCATTCTGATGTTACACTCATCGAGACCTTTCATTTAAGTTCCCACATGGCATTTTTTATATATGGTATTTTATATATATGGTATTTGTGAAATATATCCTCTAAATTAAAATACATGAAAGTCTTGAAGTTAGTCAAAGGTCGAAACTCGCAAAAAACGGGCCACGATTCATTATTGGTTAAAATTTAAGGGCGCGCGTAGCGCGCTATTCAGATTTCTAGTAAATATATAAAATATATGAAAAATTGATGTGGGTACTCAAATGAAAGGTCTTGATAAGTGTAACATCGGGATGAGTTTATATCTTTAAAAATGTCAATGGTTCACAAGATACAAGGTCATTTCTTAATTATGTATCTAGAAATAGAGCATTTTCGAATGCAGACTAAGTACTTATTATAATAAATTGACTATCGGTGAGAATGATATAAAACTTTGAAAAGACACAAATTCAAGTCAAGACCTTTGCAGTGACAGTAAACATTAAAAGTTTCTATACTATTATAAGAATCATTCCAATACTACCATGGAAACTATTTTTATAGCAGTATAGAAAAAATTTCTATATGATTATGAAAACTCTTCCCGTGATGAATGGGAAAAGTGCCTATAATTTTCTTTCTGTGTACTTGAAAATTATTGAATTTTCGATCAATTTTTTTATAGAATTCAATAATATTAATTACTATCCTTGATAGTAAATATTATCATCCTGATAGAAACTACCCTGATAAAAAAAAAGTATTGAGACAAAGAAAAAAGTATTGAAAAGTATTGGTTTTCTAGTCAATCCAATACTTTTCAATAATTTTTTCTTTGTCTCAATACTTTTTTTTATTCAGGGTATAACCATCCTGATAGTGACTGTTATCATCCTGATTGTAACCGTTACTATAAAAAATGGTAACTGTTATTATAAAAAAATAACAACAGTAACCATCTTTGCATTGAAAAATTTTTTAATCATCCTAGATGATTAAGCTACAAATTTAGTATGATAATCCCTATCATTTAATTTTCTCCGTGCATAGATAAGCCTGTCGATACTTTTCGTTATTGACAGGTAAATTTCTAATGGATGTATCCGCACAATGGCTATTTGTTCAGTATCCATATTATATGAAATAGATCGTTGAAGACTATCTTTATACACTTATAGATCTTTATTTGGATATAGATGAAATTGTTTTATACTTTTTAGTTCACTTAAAAATGTAGTATATTGAAAATTTTGTTTATTTCAATAATTGCTTTTTGTTTTTTAATTTAAAATTTTGAGGGAAATTAAATATTTAAATGAGAAATCTCGATCATAAATATGAATCAATAGTCTGAAATAAAAACGTAAATTATTAGAAGTCCGATTGTTTGAGTGTGTGTCGACTGCGTAGGTTGGTGTCGGTTGTTGTCAGTAAATATTGCATTGAAGTCTAATTCTAAGGTGTGTTCAAACTTTTGAGTTTCTAGCTCATCGGGAAGTTAGTTTATTCAAACAAATGTCAAAGTTCAACCCAGACGGACTCACAAGAAAGCAAATAAATAGAGACGTAATAATAATAATAAACTAATCTTATTTTAATTAAATAATGACCAATTTCAGTTATGACTCATAAAAATTCATCAAAGTCTTGAAACAAAAAGTTTAAAGTCATATGTTACAAGCTTTTATGCTGTAAGAATAATCATGTTCTTAAAAAAAATTTTTTTTCAAATTAATTTGCTTTCAGTAAATCAGGCAGGTGACTGCTCTTGCAAAAATATTGGTCAAATCTGAGGCAAGTTTTTTGGTGTCAACACGAAATATGATCATAAATAATTTGTTTATGATGATTCACAATTACTAAATCATTCTCATATTTATTTTCAAATATAGACTTAATAAACTTAATAAAAAAGCATTTTACATAGAAGAAAAATAATAATTCAATTGAATTACATTACTTTCATATCATCATAATCATAGCAAATATATAAACATTTAATTGATTCTTTAATTTTATTTTCTCTTCTTTCACATTGAAGGATAATATTATCTTCACTAGAAATTAGTTCCTATCTAAAATAAAAAATATATTCTTCAAATCAATTGGAAAAATTATGAAAATTTCTGGCTGTATAGCTTTTCAAGTATTGTCAAAGTATTAGTAAAATATTCGAACTAATGAATGAGTAATAAGAGAGCAAATAAGCAATAGTCTATGAGAGAGGAAACACTAGTAAGTGAGAAAAAGACTATAGCACAATGATATCTCGAGAAGCAACGACCTTAATAACGAAAAACTTGTTGAAGACAACAACTGAGTTTTATGAAGTTGGTTTTACACGTTAATATTTTGATGATGAAATGAAATCATTTGCTTAGTCGATATCTTTACAAATTATCAGAAAATCTCAAAGATAAACATTTACTAGATAATGATGATGATTAAATTGAAAAAAAAAATAAAAATGTTTACCTCAAAATAAGATTCTTCATCGTTATTGTGAGTACCAGAGGACATATCGGTATCAGAAGAACAACTAGAAATGATTCCGTGGTTTAGACGCTTCGGTGAAAGTAAACGTTTTGCAAAACTTGATTGTCTAGACCACCCAGAGTGACCACGGGTCTCTTTTCTAGGTTCTCGGAGTTGTCTCCTACTCAATCGTGGTTGTTTTGTCACTGGCTCGTCGTCACTGTCACTGACGCATCGATTTTGTATGATATTCTGAAAAGATAAAAAAAAAATGTTAAATAATACGCATTTCAAACTTTTAATAAACACTGTGTAACAATTTTGGGTTCCTTCTACCCCGTACAGTAATTTACAAAAAAAAAAAAAAAAAAAAATGTGCGTGCGTGTTTGTATGTGTCTACGACGAATCGATTTATTTTAGTACGGCCTTCAAAAAGACCGAAAAGAAATTCTTTCGCGTCTTTGCCACATAACTCCGATATCGTTTAACTAATCGATTCTTGATTATCTATACTGACTTTTTGTACTTGGCGAAAACTCGAAAAGTGCATGAACATTAAATTTTTTTGCACTTGAAGAGCTAATAACAACGTCCAAGTATACTATTGAGCATTTTGAACTCAAAGATAGCGGTAAGTTTTAAAGGTGGCCTGCAGAATTAACTACTTTTTGTATTTATAAAAAATACTCAAAGGTCACATTGATATTTTTACACCATAACAAGCAACCACGAATAAGGTTTTGAAGAGGCTGGAGACCTTGTTCTAAGAAGAAGATACTCGCATGTAACGACGCCCGCACTTTCTCCTTAAAAAATGATCGATGTTAAGATTAACCCTTGGGCCTTGGGTCCAAAGATTCATTGCATGTAAGTACCTAACCCCAGCTACCACGTAGTCGTACCCATTTGTACGTTATCTGTCAGTAACGAGGGGCTTAAACAGGTCCGCCCATGTTTTTGAATAATCAGTGTCGGTGGTGCGGGTCACTCGGAGGCGGTGGGACGTGACCGCTTCCTCATAGACTGCATGTGGGGTTCACTGCGTATTCCTGTCTTTTGTTATGACAATAAATTCTTTTTTTTAGTGCGTGACAGTTGAAACAAAACAATCTGAGAATGACTCTGCATGTTTTAAATGTAAACTTTGTCAGTAGTTTTGAAACTTATATCAAATGAACGCGATTACTACAAAATTGAAAATAGTTTGAAGACTAATGCAGAACTATTTGTTTGTGAATATATGAGCTAATAACATTAATGACTATTGCTCAGTTACAGAGAAAATTTAATTTATTCGATACTTATTTACCGAAACACGAAAAAAATGTTTTAAAAACGCTTTTGACTTTGCATGCCATTTACGGAATTTTTCGTTATTTTTGGACTTAAAGAGCTCAAAAATATACATGCTGGCAAGAAATGGAGCTTTTGAAGCTCAGAAATATGCTAATTATTTCATATTTAGCACCATTTCTAATAGTTGGGCAGAAATGTCTTAACCCGCAGATATGAGCATTTTGCTCAAGCTCATATAAGAATGCGGATAATTTTAATTTTCCTGTATAAATCAATGATCTTAAAGAAATTGGGATTTTATTGGGAAGTTATTGGTGGGAGAAGTTATAAAATCGAGTTCTCATCAAATCTCCACGTTTCGAGATCCTAGAAATATATTCTGACTATTTCTCCGAAGATGTTACTTGATGTCTGTACGTATGTATGTATGTATGTCTGTACGCACGTACGTACGTATGTATGTATGTATGTATGTATGTATGTGGTGTGTGTGTGTGTGTGTGTGTGTGTGTGTGTGTGTGTGTGTGTGTGTGTGTGTGTGTGTGTGTGTGTGTGTGTGTGTGTGTGTGTG